TACATGAAAGAATACACACTGGGGTGAAACCTTACAGTTGTACAGTGTGTGAAAAACAGTTTAGAGATAAGTATTATTTAAAAATTCATGAAAGAATACATAGTGAGGAGAACCTTACAGTTGTATAGTGTGTGAAAAACGGTTTAGTGAAAAGTATCGTTTAAGAGAACATGAAAAAATACATAGTGGGGAGAAACCTTACTGTTGTACAATGTGTGGAAAACTGTTTGGAAGGGAGGATTATTTAAAAATACATGAAAGAATACACACTGGGGTGAAACCTTACAGTTGTACAGTGTGTGAAAAACAGTTTGGAGATAAGTATTATTTAAAAATTCATGAAAGAGTACATAGTAAGGAGAAACCTTACAGTTGTAAAGTGTGTGGAAAACAGTTCAGATGGAAGAGTCGATTAAAAATACATGAAAGAATACACACTGGGAAGAAACCTTATAGTTGTACAGTGTGTGAAAAACAGTGAATTAAAAATACATGAAAGAAAACACACTGGGAAGAAACCTTATAGTTGTACAGTGTGTGAAAAACAGTTTGCAACAAAGTATAGCTTAAAAATACACACTGGAGTGAAACCTTACAGTTGTATAGTGTGTGAAAAACGGTTTTGTGAAAATTATCATTTAAAAGAACATGGAAGATTACATAGTGGGGAGAAACCTTACAGTTGTACAGTGTGTAGAAAACAGTTTAGACTGAAGAAGCAATTAAAAGTACATGAAAGAATACACAGTGGGGAGAAACATTACAACTGTACAGATTGCACAAACAGTTTGTAACAAAGAGTGCTTTAAAAATACATGAAAGTACACACACTGAGGAAAAACTGTATTATCTGCTTGGGAAAAAAGGAGAATCCTTATAGTTGTACAATGTGTGAAAAAGACTGAATAAAGTAGTTCCTTAACATATGAATGTATACAAAATTAATAGAAACCCTGAAGTTGTGAGTTTTGTAGAAAGCTATTTCATAATAACTCTTAACTTAACAAAACATGAAGGGAATATATACTGGGGTGAGACCTTACAGTTGTGTAGTACGTAATAAAGAGTTTAGAAGAAATAGTGTTTTAAAATATCATAAAGGAATACATACTGTAGAGATAACTTACAGTTTTTCAGTTTATTGAAAAAGTTTGCAACAAAAGATAGATTAAAAATACTTGATAGAAAACATACTGTTGTCTTGTGTGTTGTGAATAACTTATAACAAACAGTAACTACTATTGAATGTGGTAGTTGTTTATAAGTTGTTGAACCACAAGAGACAGGATTAAAGTGTACAGATCTATCTTTGGTGTGTTTTTGATGTCTGTAATTTGGAATTATTCTGTGTTAGTGTTGATAACAACAGAAAATTTAACAAATCATTAGAACCAGTATCTGTATATTAATATTCCAGTACATACTGAGAATGTGCTGCTATGATTGATTTTCATGGATTTGAATAAACACTTACAGACTTCTGGGACTTGATTGACTCCAAACCTCCAGTCTCATGATATTTTATGTTGAAGAAAGTAGTGATTGAATTTGTACTGAGATTATTCTGTTCTAAGCACGATAAAAAATAAATAAAATATTGATAAACAGTTTTATTTTGTCTAAATATTGACATTTCCAGAAATTTAAATTCTATAGTCACATTTTGAAAAGGAACTTTAAAATATTGATGTCA